CTTTATATCAAATTTCCAAATGCCTTTTACATGATGACTATGCATAGAAATTATAAAAATAAAAATTTCTGTTATAGTATTAACTATTAAGCTTATCTAGAAAAAGAGTAGATATAAAAATTAAGAGCTACACTCACAACGTTGCATGCGTATGCATTCACGAATATCCGAATACAAATGCACTTCAAAACTAATTTAGTGCCGGACACGATATCTATGAGTCCATGTAGAAATGAGTCACTTTTAAAAAATCTACTTTTGAGATGGATTTTTGGATTTAACTTTTAAAAATATGTAATCTCTAACCTGAAGATCATGAACATGAAAAACTAAATAAATTTTAACAATCAGAAACAATTAGTCTACTACGAAAACATTTAGACCCTTAGTATCAATGGCTTTAAGATGGACCAGTCATAAGTTTGGAATCCAAAGCCTCTAGGTGCTTTTATTTAGCAAACACAAAAGACAGTCCTTATCAATTTCCTTTGCAAAGGAATCCAAAGCCTCCAAGTGCTTTATTTAGCAAACACTTATTACCGTTCTTATCATTTTCCTTGCCAAAGCCCGCGTGTCCAACATGCGTATGTAACGCTCTCTCTGTCCACAACAAACTACGCCCCTCTCTCCTATATAAATATATAAATTTGGAGACCTCTCTTCCTCATTGCGCACGAAACACATCCATAAAACCAGCCCCTTTGCTTTGTAATCTTTACAAACATGAACATGGACAAACTGCCTCTTGCATGTGTACTGCTTCTCCTCATGGTAAATTATCCTTTGCATATTCAAAATCAAGATTACTATAGAGCATTAAGATTTCTTTTTTTTTTTTTTTTTTTTCTTTAGTAACATTTTAGTTGCATCCTTATTACGTTCGGCTTCGTTGCTTACTTATCGGTTTATGCTTTACTATACGTTGTACAGTGGATTGCACTACGACTATGCTTTACTATACGCTTCAATGTTTTCTCACTTCTCGGTGTCCACTAATTGCAGGGAACACTAAACCTGTACAACGTACTGGCAACACCTGAGAGCTATTGGGAACAAGTGTTCCCGAAAACTGCAATACCCGATTTTATTCGTGCCCGTCTTCATCCCATACCCATAGGAGTGGTGCCTATGACTGCAGACAATCGAGATCCACGATTCTTCTATCCTGACTCCTCACATAAGCGTGACCCTAGGCAAACCACATTCTTCTTAGAGGAGGAGCTGAAAGTTGGAATGAACAGAGTTCTTTACTTCCCTAAATCCGACTTTACGTATGCCGCACCTTTCCTTGCTCGTGAGATCGCAGATGCCATACTCTTCTCATCAGCCGAACTTCCACAAATCTTAAAGCGCTTCTCATTGCCTACTGCCTCTGTTGAGGCTAATGCAGTGCGTGAAACCTTAGCATGGTGTGAATCTTTAAGAGGCAAGGCTCAATGCCTAACCTCTTTAGAGGCTGTAATTGACTATGCCACCCGATCCACTATGGACCGCAGCATTACCACGCTCCACACTCATATCGACAAGGATTCTGGGCTCCAAGCTTACACCGTGAAGCGAGTGGAGCACAAGGTTGCGACGCCTGACTCTACAGTGTGCCATAACATGGCGTATCCTTATGCCCTGTACTACTGCCACCATGTTGGTGAGGGCAAAATATATGAGGTGAGGTTGGAAGGAGAAGATAAGAGCATAGTGGAAGCGATTGCAGCCTGCCATTCAAACACTAGGACTTGGCACCCACATTCATTTGCTGCTCTTCCCGCAGGGGTGAAGGCGGATCACAGTTTTGCTTGCCATTTCTTACCTGACACCCACATTGTATGGGCCTAAGTCCCTGAACCTTGATTGGAATAATTAATCCGCTTATTATGGTTGGCGTAGCAATCATGTATGAGATGGATGGCTTTTAATTAAATTCTTGTTATGCGCAGTTTGCCAATTTGCTTCTTGGTTTCCTTGTTTTTCCCTTTTCTTTGGTAAGCTTTATTAGCGTTTAATTGGCACAAAGTATAGGATTCAACTCCTGGACTTGTGTATCTTCTGGATGAGATACCGTGTCATAAAGGCCTACTGGTGTCTCTATAAATTGACATACATGCAGGCGCAGCACATGTGTTAAATAGTGTAATTACCATGAGATTCAAAATTCATCAAGGAGCTCCATTAGTCTGATGTTTTACATATCAGACCATTGCTTCTTCTTCTTTTTTCCCTTTCTATTTTTTCCAATTATTCCCCTCAGTCTGATGTTCTGAATTTCGGGCAGTTTTTTATTTTAGCTTTAATTTTTCCAAAGTTTAAAGCAACACAATCATTGTAAAACTCAAAATTTATGGATGTGGGACACAAAATTTGAAAATATTAACTTGATAGTCAACATATAATGCAGGTGCTTGTGTATGCTTTCATGAATATCCGAATACAAATGCACTATGGAACTAATTTAGTAGTGTTTAATAAGCATCTATTTTCATCACATTGTGGTTTAGGTCATATTGTTTATTTTAACATTTTCATCTCTTAGAAAATGTTAGCTTCTTCAAATGGATTAAATAAAAGGAGCTATGATGATATGTTTTTCTTTCTTTTCTTTTTTTAAGTGATTTATGTACCAACGCTAAAATTTTAGGTATATTACGAAATGCACCACTCATTTGTGGAAATTACAAACAATATCAGTCAACCCACTTTTTTTATATTTGTCAAAATTGATCTTCAATCAACACGAATTTTGATTTATATTTTTTGGATTTTTTTGTTAGTAGGGCAATGCCCCAAGAGCTTGTTTTGCAATGCCCCGAATGTTTTATTTCATTTTATTTTATTTTATTTTTTATTTTTTTTTGGAAAATTTTACGTGGCCTAACTCAGATTCATCGGTCGGACCCAGATATTCAATAATTATCATCATAACGCTTTTTCAACCATTTGGTCCTTATTCAGTATGTTGTTTTAATTGCCAATTTGCTTCTTGGTTTTCTTTGTGTTCCCCTTTTCTCAGGTCAGCTTTGTGTTCTCCTTTTTTCGTGGACTTCTATATCTTATTGACGAGATAACGCGTAGTAAAGGCCGACTACTTTCTCTAGAAATTAACATACATGTGAGCACACGCACACGTGTTATATATAGGAATATTTATGTTTGTACCATATTTGAAAATATAAATTATGTGGAGGTCCAAAAATTTTCAAATTTTACGAGAAGGCCTATGGTCTAGTGTTCTAATATCAGACCATTGATTTTTTTCGCCTTTTTTTTTTTTTCAAATTTTTCCCATTGATCTGTTGTTCAAACATTGTACTGCTTCTTTTTCTTTAACTGTTTTGATCGCTTCGAGGTCCTAGACTTCAGGCCACCTGTGAACATTGTGGAAGCCAAGCAGTCAAGGCTGGAAGCTTGAACTTTGGACTATCAAATTCATAGTCCTAGTGGTTCAAGGTTTGGAGCCTTGGATGCTAGGCTTGCAAAATGTTTATATAAGCGAAGC